GGGGCGCGACGCCGCGGATGCGCGGTCGCACGGCTGCGCTCCGCGCAGGGGGCACTGCATCTGCGAGCACGCGCGCCACGTATTCCGCGGGCTCGCGGCCCCCGGGGCCCAGCTCGCGAGGCCGTGCATCTACGGACATGTGCTTCGCCCACGAGGGCCCACTTCCTTCATGCCACATCCTTGGCGCGCCATGTGGCCCTCATCTCCCCCCCCCATCCCCCCTCGCTCCCTCTGCAGCCCTTTTTGTCGGGCGTCCGCGCGGCCTGCTCTCGATGGAGACGGAAACGGTACAGGCATGCACTTTCGGAGGCCCGCGCGGATTGCCCAGAGCTGTGCTGGGCCCCTCCCATCCCTGGCGCGCACAGCACGCCAGGGGTGGCGCCGGAGGCGCCGCCAGGGAGGTCCAGCGCAGATCCAAGAAGTCCGCGCGGTCCGTCGAATGTTTACGGTGGTGTTCGTTAAGGAATTTGCCCAGGAGGCTTCAGGCCTGGAGGGAACCTTATCTGACGAGGGCGGCGGTGATACCCATGGCCAATCCCACGACTGGAGTTCCGGCTTCCAGACCCTGGATGCCTTATCCAATGGTTCCTTATCCAATGCCCTCACTCGGCGGCGCGCCCAGGGGGGAAGTGAGAGAGGGCACGCATTCTCAGAAGGCGGTGGGGCTTCTTAGAAGCCCTCCATGTCGTCGGGGAGGGCATTGAGAACTTCTCAGCAGGCCCTGGGCCTTCCGATCCTTTGAGAAGGCCCACCCCTCTGACTTGCCTGGGCTCGCCGCCGACTCACCGTACAGTCGAAATCGATAGCAGGGATGGGCAAACCTTCCCAGGGGTACCGTTACATCCTTGTCCCTGTGGCCCATCCTTGACTGCTTTCGACGGCCAGCCCCGCTCGAAAAGCTTCGACATGGGCGTCCAAGAGGCTTGCATCCGTATCGCGCATCCTTGCTATCAGTTTTGACCGTACAGTCGGGCATCTGATCAAGAAGCCTCCTCCCTGAAAGCTGGGCCAGCGTATCTTGACCAGCTTGCCGGAAAGCTGGCCAAGTTTCTTGAGCATGTTCGCCCCTCCAGGGTTCACAACAGATGCTGGCCCATGTTTTTTAAAAGCAACTTGCGGGAAGCTGGCCCAGATCTCTTAAAGGATCATGCTCTTGAGCATGTTGCTTTCGGCTGCATCGCGCATCCTTGCTCTGTTTTGGCTGTATTCGGCGGCGAGCCTGGGGGGGAAGTGAGAAGGAGCGGGCCTTCACAGAAGGCTCGGAAGCCCCCCAGCCTTCTGAGAAGCTTTCTAAGCCTTCCCCGGAGGGCTTCTGAGAAGCCCGCCGCCTTCTGAGAAGTCCTTCTTATTCTCGGACGCCTGGTGGTTTTTGGGTCATAACTCGGCTCTCCCGTGGCCGTTCGGGACGATCCGGGTACCCCCAGAACGCCCACGGCGAGGCGCAGCCGCTGGAACGCACCCCGAGGCTGAAACACCGCCGAGATCCGAGTAAGACGTCCGAAGATTTCGAACCTCGAGCCTGCCACTTCCCCCGTCTCACTTCCGCCCCTCGCTCGCCGCCGAGGTATGCCTGTGCCGCCTTCTGTTCTTCCGTGTTCTCTGGTTGACCCACAAAAGCGGGTCCAGCGAAAAGGGGGTGGTGCAATAGATTTGGTGCAATAGATTTGTAGGGTTGCAATAGAGTTGGGGTTTGCCATGCATTCCAGTGCGCAACTGTCTGGCTGGGCTTCCGCGTGCAATGCATGAGTCGCAAAACACTGCAACACAACTCTCTAGCGCACTAGATCTGCCACGCGATCGCCCAAAACCTATATTGCACCACAGCAGCACTTTGTCTTGTGTTTCTGAGGGCCGAGAACTCAACCACAGCAGCAGCAGCAGCAGCAGCAGCAGCAGCAGCAGCAACAACAGCAAACGGCACCACCCCCTTTTGTCGGAAGCTGGGCAAGGGCTGCTAAATCCGTGGCTGCTACAATCGACCTCCGGGAAGTTGTCTTCGTCCTTCCGGGAAGAAGCCCGTTGACGGTTTGGCGTGCCGCGCCTCATTCGGGGACGTTGTTTTTTCCTTCGGCAGCCACGGTTTTGGCAGCCCTCGCCCCGCTTCCCATCTTGGCTGGACCCCCCCCCCCTGGGCCAGCCGGCTGTTCCTCCGCGCCACCCATGGCCCGGCTGTGGCCGCCCGCGGCCCGCCTCGCCGCGAGCCGCCCGAGGAGCTCGGGCCGCGCGCCGCCGTGGCCTCTCGCCGGGGAGCTGGCTGGAAGTCGGGCGTGTCCCCCTGCAGGGGGAATGTCCAAAACTCGTCAACAAAAACAAATCAGGGGACGATACCTCTACCATTTTTTTTGGGGACTATTCCTGATTTTTCTTGGGGGGTATTTTTGTGAATTGTCTCTCCGAAATCCGCCTGTAGGAGGGCACGCCCGACCCAAGGATAGCCAGCTCTGGTGCAGGCGCACCTGGGGCCCCCAGACTTTTGTGGCTCCCATCGCACTTAAGGGCCACATTCCAAAAATAAATTCCAGCACCTAGAAAAGTGTCGAAACAGTGTCGAACGAGTGTCGCCCCAAGCCTCAAATTTCGGTACTTCCTTGGTGCTCGAATTTTTTTCTGGTGGTCAAGGCTAGAGTACGTTGGAACATCATAACCCCAGACATGGCCCAGACCCCGTCGCGCTGTGAAAACAAATCACGACGGGAGGTCATTCGCCATGTTCGGCCTCCCGGGGCCCTTGCGGGGCCTCGGGACCGTCAAAGAACGACCCATGATGAAGAACCGGTCTGTGACAAAACTCACGACGTCGGGGGTCTGGGGGCCGAGCGTCGGAGGAGGAACACGGTACCCGTACCGCTGCCCTTCCCTCGCTCTTTTCCCCGTCGTTGGGCCTCCTGGGCGGTCCTCGTCGCCACCGCCGGATTCGCCTCGAAATCCTGGTCAGAATGCACCCCGGGAGAGGAGGGTTTCTCCGAAGGGCTTAGGCGACCCGTCCTCCTCCTCCTCCTCCTCCTCCTTCTCTCCCCTCCTCCTCCTCCTCCCTCCTCCTCCTCCCCTCCTCCTCCTCCTTCCTCCTCCCCCTCCTCCTCCTTCCTCCTCCTCTCCTCCTCCTCCTCCTCCTCCTCCCCCTTCATCTCCTCCTCCTCCTCCTCCTCCCTCCTCCTCCTCCTCCTCCTCCTCCTCCTCCCCTCCCTCCTCCCTCCTCCACCCCTACCTCCTCCTCCTCCTCCTTCTCCTCCTCCTCCTCCTCCTCCTCCTCCTCCTCCTCCTCCTCCTCCTCGGGGCGACTACGGCCCCGGGGGAAGCCGTGCACCTCCTCGGGAGAGGCCCGGGGAGTAGCGGTTGCTGGTGCCTTTTTGATTCTCCGGGGGCGCGGTGCGACAGCCGCGCCTGGCGCGCTCGGGCTTGGCCTCCCTGCGGCCACGAGCGGCGCGCACCAGAGGTCGCTCTTGCCTTGTGGAAGTCGATTACTGGAGAGGAAGCATGCTGCCAAATAGGTTCCAGATGTCTAAAAGATGTTTCACATATGTTTTAACTATATAAAAACATGCTTAACACATGTTTAGAACATTTTGTGACATTTTAAACACATGTTTAATTCAATTATCGGACTGTTAGGGTGTCCACTGTCGTGGCATCCACAACTCTTGCCCACGGGTCACCCTCGCGTGTCGCCGGTACGGGGCTGACGAGCGAACAACACACACACACCCATGCCCGAAAGGGGGGTCGGAGGGAGGAGGCCTGGCTGTGGGGACGGGTGCGGGTCGTCGGGCCCTGGAGGAGGCTCCCGCTCGAGCGGGGGCCTCCCTCCGACGACACTCGCCCATAGCCCCCTCCGCTCCCCCCTGCGGGTCTGGGTGCGTGTCTCCGCCCCAAAGTATGCACAGACACCTTGCAATAGATTGTCCCTTGTCCTCAGGGGAGGATGGCGGCGTATCAATCACCGCTGCAAGCCAACGACTCGATACATCGCCGCCCCCCCTGAGGGTACATGCAGACTCCGTCGGAAGGTCTCAGTGTACTTATCTTCGTGGCGTAATGTTGCCCTTTCGTCAGGAGTGGCCGCCCAGTGGCGGCTGGGCGCGCCAGCATGCGGGCGGCCTGTGTCCTGGGGCTGTCGGCGGCGCTGCTGGAGCTCGGCCCGGCCAGCGCCAGCGTCGGGGCCGCGGGCGCCGCGCCGCCGTCTCGGCGCGACGGTTCTGAGAGGAGGAGGGTCGGGGAGCGGGCGAGGGGACCCTGAGGTGGAGAGCGGGCGAGGGGATGAGGAGGAGGAGGAGGAGGAGGAGGAGGAGGAGGAGGAGGAGGAGGAGGAGGAGGAGGAGGAGGAGGAGGAGGAGGAGGAGAAGGAGGAGGAGAGGAGGAGGAGGAGGAGGAGGAGGAGGAGGAGGATGAGGAGGAGGAGGAACAATGTAGACCCAAGACTCATCAACGATGTTGGAGGAATTCCCATCCAACTTGTCTCTTCATGGGGCCCTACACGGGTTCGTTTTCACTAGGGAAGTGCCCCGTTTGGGGACAACCTTTTGAAGATCCGGATGCGTGCCAGAACACTGTTCTCGGGACTTCAACGCCACGAATCAACCTGACTGTTGCGTCTTGGCGATCCCGAAGTGTGCCAGAGCGCCTTTTCTGGGACTTCAGCGCTGCGAATGAACCGAACTGTTGCGCAATTTGAAGACGCCAATTCTGGTATGTTTAGCATGGGAATTCCAGAAACTCTTGCACAATTTGAAGACGAGTGTGCGCGGCGCTGAGGCGAGAGGCACATGTTGACAAGGAGCCGCCTCCAATTCGTGAAACTCTTGCACAATTGAAGACAATGGCGATAACCACATTATGAAAACGCCCCGCCCTTAATCCGCGAAGCTCTCTCACATTTGTTGCAAGAATGTGCGCGGCGCTAGGGCAAGAGCCACATTTTGAAAACGACCCGCCCTCAATCTGTGAAGCTCTTGCAACATTTTGAGATGGGTCTGCGCGGCGCTCGGGCGAGAGACACATTTTGAAAACCACCCGCGGTCCATCCGTGAAACTATAGCCAAGTAGTGAGCTTCAGGACCATCGACTGTGAGGAAGTCTCAGGCGAACTGCCCTGTCCGCCCTTCCACTGGCCCTGGGGTGCGACAAGGAGTAGTTAGTTACAAGCAACATGAATGGAGGAGGAGGAGGAGGAAGAGGAAGAAGGAGGAGGAGGAGGAGGAGGACAAGGAGGAGGGGAGAAGAAGAAGAAAAATAATGATAATAATAATAATAAGAAGAAGAAGAATAATAAGAAGAATAATAATAATAAAAATACTAAGAAGAATAATAATAATAAGAAGAAGAAGAAGAAGGGGGGGCAGAAGGAGGAGGAGGAGGAGGAGGAGGAGGAGGAGGAGGAGGATCCAGGAAGAACAGCCATACAAACATGGATTTTCGTCGGCCCGCGCGGCCTGGATCGGTGCTGGGCCCCCCGCCTGGCGGCGCCTCGGGCGGCGCCCCTGGCGCGCTCCACGCCCGGCAGGAGGGGGTCCGGCGCCGATCCGGGACCTCCGCGCGGACCTTCGGCAGTCTCTGCCTGCGGCGTCTTCTCTTGACCTCTGCCTTCGTCTGGAGGTGCCCTGCTCCGGATGGGCTGCTCCGGGGGCGTGGCCCTCGGGGTGCTCTCGGGGGCGCTGCACGGCGTCGCGATGTCGCTCCGGAAGGCCGGCGGGAGCTCCAACTACGTGGCGACCTGGCAGTGGTGGCTCGGCACGCTGAGCGACGGCACGGCTGGGGTGCTCTTCGCCCTGAGCGTGCCCTTTGCGCCTGCCGTGGTCCTCCTCCCGATCGTCGCCATCTCGCAGATGCTCGCGGGCGCGCTGATCGGCGCCGTGTGCCTCGGGGAGCCGCTGCCCCGTCGCTCGCGCCTGGGCCTGCTCTGCGCCATGTGCAGCGTGTGTGCCCTGGGGAGACACGGCTCCAGCGCGGCCGTGGAGACCGTCGCGGTGGAGGGCTTCTGGCGGCAGTGCGCGCAGCTGCAGTTCGTCCTCCTGAACGGGGCCTTGCTCGGGGCGGTGCTGGCAGCCCGCTTCAGCGCTCGCCGAGCAGCGATGTACGTCCTGGTGTCCGCTCACGCCGACGCCGTCCAGTTCCTGGTGACGCGCACGCTCGCAGCGGCCCTGCTCTCCGGCCGGGAGGCCCTGTGGACCCCCGGCGTGCTGTCCCTCTGCTGCCTCAAGGGCGCGTGCATCGTCGCCTTCCTGCACTCGCAGCAGCTGGCCCTCGCGGCGAGCCTGTCGCAGGCGTCGGCGGCGAGCGAGCGGGGGGGGGGGACTGAGGAGGAGAAGGCCTTCTCAGAAGGCGGCGGGACTTCGCAGAAGCCCTCGCGCCTTCGGAGAGAAGCTTTGATTCTGCGTCTTCGGGGAAGGCGCAGAGAACACTCCTCGGACGGCTGGGGACTTCCGAACCTTCTGAGACGGCCCGCTCCCTCTCCCTTCCCCCCTCGCCCCCCCCCCCCCCCCACCTTGGGGCGTCGCCACGCCGTGCCATGCCATGCTGCGCGCTGGTCTTCGACACCATGCCGTGCCATGCAATGCTCTGCCATGCCTCGGCGCCCGATTGTGCGACTGGGGAGGAGCGCTGCGCCACGGCAAGAGCTGGGAGGGAGGGGCAGGGCGCCAGACGTGACGCGAGCGCACCCCGCTCGCCCTTCCCCCCCCCCCTCGCTCGCCGCCGGAGGTGGCGGCCCTGGCCCCGCTGCTGTCGGCGTGCCTGCCCTGCCTGCTCAGCGCCGCCTTCTTCGGCGACCCCTTCGCCTGGAGCCCCGAGGCCGTGCTCGCCCTCGCGTCGGGGGCGGCCGCGCTGTGGCTCCTGGCCCCCTCGCCGGGGAAGGGGCTCCCGCCCTGCCTGGACGCGGAGCCGCTGCTGGGGGGGTGACGCCCGAAGGGAAGGAAGGCAGACGGCACGGGCCCGAACGCCTTCGGAGCTCCGCGCGGATCTGGTACAGTCATGCTGTCTCTCCTTCGAGAGTGGGGCGTGCGCGAGGAGCTTCTCCAGGGGATCGAGCAGTGACCTGAGCACAAACGCTCGGAGGTCCGCGCGGACCTCCGAGTTTGGATGTTCATGTCATTGTTCGTTCCCCTACCCTCGCCCTCTGTGTTTTCTCTGCCGGGAGGTGCCGCTTCCTCTGCCCCCCGGTGCCCACAGCGGTGCCAGCTGCCGGTGCTCTGTGGCCGGGCTGAGCAGGATCTGGCAGGCATGCTGCGGGCAGCTCGCCGCACGGCCGCGGCACCAGGCGGGGTCGCCCGTGCGCCAGAGTCCGTGGCTGGCGAGCGGGCGACCTCAGGACTGCGGAGCAGAGCCGCGCTCTGCTGTGTGCCGAATTCGTGGGCCTCGCGCGCGCTCTGCGTGGGCCTCGGCGGCGTGGGCGAGAGCAGCTTTTTGTGTCAGCTGGCTGGCTTTTTTTGTCGATCGCAAAGGCGACCCCGCAGTGTCATGAGCACTCAGCTGCTAACACTGCGCGCTGGCGCCACTTGTTGCGACGACAGCGGCCCCCCTATGGGTAGCATTGCACGTCGCCGCCCCCGTTACGGTACACCGACGTTGGTTGAAGCGATCGCCGCGTCTGAACGCTCGTGCTGGTCAAAGAGAAAAGCACACGCGCAAACACTGTGACTATGGAAGCAGTGCGTGCACAACAGGAAATCGAAGGGCAATTAAAGGCGGAGGAGTGGAGAAGCGCGAGAAGGTATGGAGGAACGCACATCGGCAAAGTTTCCCAATACCCCAACCAACACGTAGCTTCCTGTGCTGCGCCAGGCTTGGCGCTCGGTTAGGGCACAGGAAAAGATGCCCATGATTGATGAAAGGGCCGATCAAATATGCCCTTGGCCGTACTGTGGGTATGGAGATGGCCGTGTTGTGGGTCTGGAGATAGAACTAACAGTGCAGCGAAACACTCCCTGATGAGTATGGGCGGCTCCGTCTCCACCTCATCCTCCACCTCCATCCCTCTGCTTACCAAGCCCTCGGTGTTTCGGGCGCATCTTGATACTGGTAGATGCCACTCTGGAACGATTCGCTGCGGCTGGCAGCTTCGATGCGAGCGCCAGTGAAACAGGGCGCATTCGAGTGACTCATCTTTCTCCTCCCTTCCACCTCTCCTCAATCTCTTCCCGACATCGTCGTCGGGAACTGCCTTGAAAACCGCATGTGATTTGCGCAGCACTGGGGATAACTTGAGTACTGTCCGAAGGAAGGCGGCATCAAGTCTTGAGATGGCGGCCTAAAACTTGTGAGACTACTGCTGAAACTTTCCAGGTTGCAGTAGTGTGGTGCCCCGCTGGCGGGGCAGTGCTGGCATGGCACATGCCTGGAGGGCCTGTTGAAAGATGCCGCTTCCGTCCTTGTTGTAATGAGAAAGTCGTCGTTGTCCTCCCCATTTTCCTCCACCGTAACCCACCTCTCAATAAAAAAAGCAGCATTTACGGAACATGTTTGCAACACCGCATGGGCGGACACGATGCTGCCTTGTTGAGTTATCTGCCAGCAACTGGATCAATTACATTGTCCATGGTCTGTGGTTCCTGTCATTTGTAATTGCGCTGCTCTTGCCATCTCTCGCTGGCATACGGGTTCAGAGGTGCAGAATATTCGTGGCCTGGAACGGGCGTGGACCATCACAGGGCTTCACTGCGATGGCTCCCCTCCCCCCTTTGCCCAACCACACACGCAGCACACACGCACCCATGCCCTTTCCACGTGAGAGTGGAAGGGGAGAGAGTATTATATGAGCGGAGGCGTAGGTGGGAAGGTAGAGACAGGCGGACAGACGAAAGTGTGCTAGTGGCCACTGCTCTGAGCATCGGACGTCAATGGTTCTCTGAATCTTAATGCAGATGAGATGAGAAGATGATGTGATGGAGGATCTGAAGAAGAGGGTGATTGATCAAGATGTGAACGATATGTTATTTGCAGGGTGCTTTCCGCAGCGCCTCGTGGGCTACAGTTGCGTCAAGCAGATGCCCTCGCACAAGTATTAAATTACCCTGCTCCAAATTGCTACGAACAGCAACTGCTTCTTGTGGGCCGTTCTGCTCCAAGAGTTTGATAAGGGCCATTGCCTGTGATTGCTGAGGCAGCAGCTGCTGAGTAGTGGGTGATCGCATCGCCGTTGAGTCGCTCCTTGAGGCCCCGTCCTTCCTGAATACACTCGTGATTCGAAGCATTGTACCGAGACTTTAGCGAAGGGTACGGGTCGTGCTGCGAATCAGCTTCTGATTTGCATGTGTCCGAGGAGATAGCTTCCCAAGCTTCATGTGCATCGACTCCCGTCTGTGTGTATGGACGTTACTCAACAATGCCCTCGTCTAGCCGTGATTGGTAGCACATTGTTGAGGTAATCGTACCAGTGAGTGCCTTCCACCACGTGCCCTAACGAATCACCCGGCATCCACCCAACGTGCATGTCAAAGATGTATTCCCCACCAGCCCCTCCAGACACGATGCCCAGCGGAGCTGCCCTAAACTCGTGGAGGTCCCTCGGGGCATCCTGGGGCATCTTGCAGGCTCTTCGGAGTCCACTATCCTTGTCGAAAACCAACGATCAGTACCGGCGGAATCGCCATCATGATGTCTGGTGGACGTGCCAGCACTCCCGCCGTCCCTGCCAAAAACCCATGCAACATGATCGCGGGGTGCCCGCGCATGATCCATATTTCGCCGCGGAGTGCAGCGTGCATAGTTTTATGACACGGATGGTGGCCCTGTGCACAGCAAGCCATATGCGGGCACCCCCGCCGCCCCTTCCAAGTGACAGTGCAAAATTCTCGCTCCCCCCCCGTGCATGATCCTAGATTTTGTCGCAAAGTATATTTTGCAGTGTTTTTTTGACGGGGATGGTGTGGGTTCTGACACGGCACGAAGCAGGTAGTATGCTGGCGCCCCCGCCATGCAAACTGGTCTCGGGGCGCCCGCGCATGCTCCAGATCTGGAGGCAAAGCGCTGCTTTTCCTGCTCGTCGTTTATAGGGTTGGTGGGGGGGGGGGGCTCATGGGTCCAGGTTGCCTGCCGGTCGGGCGGGGGAGAGGGAGCAGCGATCAGATGATCGCAGGCCGCAGGCCGTGTCGCTCACCCCCGCCCGCCCTCCTACAAGCCTCGTCAAAAATATCCAGAAATGGAAGTTGAAATCCTGGAGCACGATGCTTTCGGGCACTTGTCAGAAAGCGCGTTCTTCATTGCTGAGGTGGCGGGGTCGGTTTTTGGACAACACCGCGTCCGAGTCAACGTGCATCCGTCAGCATTGGCGTAGCGCTGACCCCACAATCACCGAATTCAGAAGTCTTCTGTTTATTTTTGACGAGGCTTGTATGACACACGGGGCACCCGAGTCCCAGCACAGGCAGGGGCCGCCGTCGACAGCCCTCGGGAACCAAGGCAGGCGCAGAAGCCGGGTGCGCGGGGCCCGCGAGGTGCACCGCACGTGGCAGGTGCGCCAGGCGCACCGGGTGTGGCACACTCGGGCGAAGATAACTGTGCACATGCACCGATCCTGACGACGCCCCTCCTTGGCCCCGGATCGGTGCATATACCTTCCTGGCCAAGGTAGGAGGGCGTATGCACCGATCCTGGGCTCAGGGTAGGGTCTGGCCAGAATCGGTGTATGTGCATAGTTCTCTTTCCTCTACGCACTGGGCAGAGCGTCGACCGCCCCACAGTCCTTGGCAAAAACCAGTGCGTATCAGAAGCCAGGCGAAGGTTGGCAAACTCGTGGCTGCCAAAACGGAGCTCCGGGATTCTTATTGTTTCTTCCGGGAAGCAGCCCGTTTACTCTTTAGTGCGCTTTTTTGCCCCCGGGGATTTGTTTTTTCCTGCCAGGAAGACGGTTTTAGCAGCCACGGATTTGCCAGCCTCCGCCCAGCTTCTTGGCGTAGTGACGGCGGGCTTGCGAGTCCACGGTTGTCTCAGGAGGTCCGCAAGGTCCCGCAAATGGTCTGGACCGTTCCAAGATTATCCGTAGTGGATCCTCGAGCCTCGATCCTCGATCGCCGTCGATCGGCTAGGTTGCTCTGGGAGTCTCAAGGCGTCTCTGGAGGCTTCCGAGAAGGTCCCGGGCGGGAGGCCTTCCATAGGCTTCCGGATGCCGCGAGAGAGCGTTGGCGGCCCGAAGAAGGCCAAGACCGTCCAAGGCATCGATCCTCGAACGTGGATCCTTGAACCTCGATCCTCGAACCTCGATCGTCCATCGTCGTCGGTCGATCGAATCGAGTAGTCTGTGGTGGCTGGGCAAGGCGGACCCTTTTGCTTCGATCTTCTAGAACAGATCCGATCGCCGAGCTTATTTCTGACCACCTCGCCAGCCAGGTCGTGAGGGTGGGCTCAGTGGTTAGCTGTCTCCTCCTTCTCCTCCTCCTCCTCCTCGTCCTACCCCTCCCTCCTTTCGTGGGTGGGGGGCGGGTGGGCCACACGATCTATCTCCAGGGTGTCACCTGCGGTCCCCATTGCGGGCGTATAGCCGGCGATGTATCGTCAATTCCAGGTTGATGTTCTCCTGCCCGAGCGGGCCCCCTTGTAACATTGCCCCTCAGTCCGGGGATTGCTAAATGTGTCCCTGGGCCAAGGTGCCCCCAGCTTCTCGCTCCATCTTGGAGCTCCTGGGGCTCCCTGGGCCTTGTGAGCTGCTCTCAGGAGGCCGTGGGGGCCTCCTTGGAAATCCTGGGGGCATCTTGGGCCAGGGGCACTTCTGGCAACATCCGATCAGTGGGGGAGGAGGAGGGTCTTCGTCAGCTCAGCACGCGCAGCGAGCCTCCCGTCCCAGGGCGCCCTTCTCACGAGGACGCGCCGGCCCTTCCCTCTCGCTGCGGCGGGGCCCCGCTAGAGCGGAGAGGTCCCCGCAGATTTACCGCTCCTCCTCCTCCTTCCCCCCTCCCCCCCTACTCCCTCCCTCCTCCTCCTCCCCCCCTCCTCCTCCTCCTTCTCCTCCTCCTCGTCCCTGCTCCGACCGCCTCCCTTCTCCTCCTTGTCCTCCTCCTCCTCCTCCTCCTCCTCCTCCTCCTCCTCCTCCTCCTTCTCCTTCTCTATGATGACGACGGCGCGGTGATAATGATGCTGCTGCTGCTGCTGATGATGCTGCTGCTGATGATGATGATGATGATGATGATGATGATGATGATGATGATGATGATACTGACGATGCTGATGACAATGAGGATGATGATGACGATGAGGAGCATGACGATGATGATGGTGATGGTGATGGTGATGGTGATGACTATGAAGATGACTATTGCGATGAGGATGATGACGATGATGACAAACATACAAATAATGATGATGCTGCTGCTGATGATGATGACAATGATGACGATGCTGATAGTGACTATGACGATGCTGATGATGATGGCGATGATGGTGATGCTGATGATGGTGATGCTGATGATGGTATGATGATCATGTCGATGATGACAACGATAAGAGCCATGATGAGTATGTTGATGATGACGATGATATTGATGATGATGCGGATCATGATAACGATAATGATGATGATGATGCTGCTGCTAATGCTGATGATGCTGACTATCATGATGATGTTGATGCTGCTACTCATGATGATCATGATGATGATGATGCTGATGATGAGGATGATGATGACAACGAGGATGCTGATGATGCTGCTGATGATGATGACGATGATGCTGCTGATGATGATGAGGATGTTAGTGATGCTGATGCTGATGATGACGATGATGATGATGTTGATGAGGATAATGAAGATGAGGAGGTTCATGCTGCTGCTGATGATGATTATGATGGCACATATGACGATGATTGTGATGATGATGACGATGCTGATGATGGTGATGATGATGTTGATGATGCTGACGATGATGATGATGCTGATGATGCTGCTGATGCTGATGATGCTGCTGGTGATGATTATGGTGATGATGAGGATGCTGATGATGTTGCTGATGATGATGATGATGATGCTGCTGATGATGATGATGATGATGAGGATTATGATGATGATGATTAGGATGATGCTGATGCTGCTGATGATGAGGATGCTGATGATGATGCTGATGATGACGATGATGATGATGACGATGCTGATTGGATGATGCTTATGATGATGATGATGATGATGATGATGATGATGATGATGATGATGAGGAGGAGGAGGAGGAGGAGGAGGAGGAGGATGAGGATGAGGATGCTGATGCTGATGCTGATGCTGATGATGATGCTGCTGATGATGCTGATTCTAGTGATGATGCTGCTGATGATGATGATGATGATGATGATGATGATGCCGATGATATTGTTGCTTGTGGTGATGGTGGTAGTTGGGAGGAGGAGGAGGAGGAGGAGGAGGAGGAGAAGGAGGAGGATGATAGAATGATAAAGAGGAGTTGTATCTGGCAGGAACAGGAGGTGGATGGGGAGCAGAAGAAGGGTGAGGGGGGAGGAGCAGGAGGAGGAACACGAGGGCGGAAGTACAGAGGTTGAGGAGGAGAAGGAGAGGGAGTACGATTATGTGGATGACGACGATGATGGATAAGTCGACGAAGAGGCGAAACGATACCTTCTGCGATGAAGACGAGGATCGCGACTACAACGACGTCGATCACCACGACCACGATCAAGACGATCACTACGACCATGACGACGACAACGATAACGTCGACGACGATGGCGGCTGCGACGACGACGACAATTTCGACGACGGCAACCACGGCGGTGGCGACGACTGCGATGACATGACGACCGCGACCACGCGGACCCCGCCGACCCCGCCGACCATGATGACCACGACGATCACGATGTTCTCGACGGCGACGTCGACGACGGCGACGGCGGCGACGTCGACGACCACGAGGACGAACCCAAGACCTGCCCTGTGGCGCGCGCTGCCCAGAATTTCGAGGCGGCTCCAGCCGTGACCTCGAGGGCGCCCCCCGGAGGCCCCGAGGGCGCCCCCCGAGGCCCGAACAGGGCCCCGAACCTGGAGCATCGATCCTTGATCCTCGACCCTCGACCCTCTGCTCTGGGACGCGACCGCTGCCAGGCACGCCTCGGCACCGGCGACGGCGACGCGGACGACGGCGCCGGCGGCGACGGCGGCGACGACCCAGAAGTCTCGACCCCCTCCCTGGGTAGGCTTTCGCCCGGATCCATTTTTGAGGACCCTGGGTCAGGGGAGGAAAAACCATCCGGACCCGATAACTGGCGTTTGCCAAACGGCCCTGGGCGTTGATGGAACAGCCTCGCCCTGGTCGATTCCTTCTGGGGGTCCTGTACTACACGGCTTCGCCTGTCGGGGTTTTATCATTCTGGGGGTGGACTCTCTGCCCCCTATACCGAGGCCCGAAGTTCCGCCTCCAGAGGCCGACGCTGGGGAGCACCCAGATCGATCGATCGATCCTCGTGCCCCGATCGCTGAGCGCGGTGCGATGGTGGCTGCTTGCGCGCTTGGAGTTGGCCACCTTGCGCCCCAGTAGTCCGCGCCCAGTCCTGGCCAGGGCCATCCTTGCGCGTAGGAGGATGAGGAGGAAGAGGAGGAGGAGGCTGAGTAGGAGGAGGAGGAGGAGGAGGAGGAGGAGGAGGAGGAGGAGGAGGAGGAGGAGGAGGAGGAGGAGGAGGCGGAGGCGGAGGCGGAGGCGGAGGGGAGGAGGCGGAGGAAGAGGGAGGAGGAGGAGGAGGAGGAGGAGGAGGAGGAGGGGAGGAGGAGGAGGAGGAGGAGGAGGATGAGGAGATGAGGAGGGGGAGGAGGAGGAGGATGATGAGGAGGAGGAGGAGAGGAGGAGACACAGGAGGAGGAGGAGGAGGAGGAGGGAGAAGGAGGAGGAGGAGGAGGGGGAGGAGGAGGAGGAGGAGGAGGAGTAGGAGCAGGAGGAGGAGGAGGAGGAGGAGGAGAGGGAAGAGGACCAGTGGAAACCCAAGAGTCATCAACGATGTTGGAATTAACTCTCCCTCCAAGCTCCCTATTCATATGCCCCTACAACGGTTCATTTCCATTGAGGGAACTACATCGTTGGAAGACAACAGTTTGAAGATCCTGAAGCGTGCCCAAACATAGTTCTCGGGATTCCAACGCCACGTATCAACCTGACGGCTGCGCCTTGACGATCCAGAACCGTGTCAGAACGCCATTTTTGGGATGTCAACACAGCGAATCAACATAATTGTTGCGCCCGTATAATCTTGACTCCTACACACCATTTCTGGTACGCTGATCATGGACATCCGTGAAACCCTTGCAATTTCTAAGAACGAGTGTTCGCGTCGCTAAGGCGAGAGCCACATGTTGAAACTGACCCGCCGTCAATCCGTGAAGCTATTGCAAATGTTACAGATAAATGTGCGCGGCGCTGAGGCGAGAGCCACATTTTGAAAACGACCCGCCCTCAATCCGTGAAACTCTTGCACATTTTCAAAGCGATTGTGCGTGGCGCTGAGGCGAGAGCCACATTTTGAAACCGGCCCGCCGTCAATCCGTGAAACTCTAGCATTGAAAACGAATGTGCGCGGCGCTAAGACAAGAACCGCATTTTGAAAACGACCCGCCCTCAATCCGTGAAGCTCTTGCACATTTTGAAAGCGAATGTGCGTGGCGCTGAGGCGAGAGCCACATCTTGAACGCCACCCGCTCTCAATCCGTGAAGCTCTTGCGAAATTCAAAAAAACGAATCTGCGCGGCGCTAAGGCGAGAGCCACATCTTGAAAACCACCCGCCCTCAATCCGTGAAACTTTTGCGCATTTTTGAAGCGAGTGGGCGCGACGCTAAAGCGAGAGCCACATGTTGAAAACCACCCGCCCTCCAACTGTGAAGCTGTTGCCACTTTTCAGCTTCATAGTCATACATGGTGAGGAAGTCTCAGGGGAAACGCCTGACCCACCCTAAAAACTGTCCTCGGGGTGCGACAGGGAGGAGTTATCAATAAGGAGAAGGAATGGAGGAGGAGGCGGAGGAGGAGGAGGAGGAGGAGGAGGAGGACGAGGAGGTGGAGGAGGAGGAGGAGGAGGAGGAGGAGGAGGAGGGGGAAGAGGAGGAGGAGCAGGAGGAGGAGGAGGAGGGGGAGGGAGGAGGGGTGGGGAGGAGCGGCGACGGCCGCCCCAGGTCAGCCGCGCGCTCGTCCGCAACGTGGACCTCGCGCGCCGCGCGCGGCGCGCCGAGGCCCCGCGGCGGCGCTCCTCGGCCGCGTCGGCAGGCGCTTGACGCGGTCGCGCTCGGCCCGTGCTCCTCATCGGGGGCGGCCAAGACGGTGGTGATGATTGGGGGGGGGATGGATATCATGGCGGGGGCCATGATATCTCCTCAGGTTCCATGGCGCCTCTGCTTATTTCATTACGGCCCTGGCCCCCCCTCAGGCCGCGCACGTGCCGCCTGCCATGAGTTGCGCCCCCCCTCCCCTCTTGGGCGCCCCCCTCCTGGCCGCCCCCGACTTCAGGGCAGCAGGTCGATCGCCTACGCTCGTTGGCGGCCCAAGAGGGAGTGTGATGACCAGGGTGACGTCGGGCGTGTCCCTCTACAGGAGGAATCACAATACAAGGGGGAACGAAGAGTGACATGAACATAACAACTTGTAGGTCCGCGAGGATTTCTCGGGTCGGCGCTGGACACTCCTCCCTGGCGCGCGGAGCGCGCGGAGCGCGCCAGGGCGCCGGAGGAAACCGCGCGGGCCTCCGAGTTTTTTAGCTCATGTCATTCTTCGTTCCCCTGAGCAGGTCGATTGCCTACGCTCGGGGGCGGCCCAAGAGGGGGGTGACGTCTAGGGTTAATTCGGGCGTGTCCCTCTACAGAAGGAATCCTCAAAAAGAGTCAAAATGGTCCAGGGACGATTTTTCGGCTATGTTTGACCATTTGTAAGCATTCTTTGACTATTTGTTATTTTTCGTCCAAAATTCGCCTGCAGGGGGACATGCCCGACCTACGACTAGGGGGGGGGCAGATATGGTGGCGGGGGCCTTGAGATCTTTCTTTTCAGATCGCATAGCGCCCTTTCTTACCTCAGTACGTCCCCTGCCCCCCTCCCCCCCCGGGCCGCGCGCCTGCCGCCAGCCACGACTTGCGCCCTCCGCCCCCCGCTCTTGGACGCCCTCCTCTTGGACGCCCCCGATGCACGCGAGAGCGACCTCTCGCCAGAGTGCCTTTCGGTGCGGGCCCAAGGGTGCGGGCCCAAGGGGACCCCCCGCCCGCGGAGAGCGACGCGGCAGCAGCGGCCCGCGCGCATGGTGGTGTCCCCAAAGGGCCCCCCCCCCCCCCCCCTCTGAGCCGCACACGAAAGGGCCACTCTTGCCCAGGGCTTTTGCCCAGGGCATGAGGGGGAGAGGAGGAGAAGGAGGAGGAGGAGGAGGAGGAGGGGAGGAGGAGAGAGGAGGAGGAGGAGGAGGAGGAGGAGGAGGAGGAGGAAGGAGGAGGAGGAGGAGGAGGAGGAGGAGGAGGAGGAGGAGGAGGAGGAGGAGGAGGGAGGAGGAGGAGGAGGAGGAGGAGGAGGAGGAGGAGGAGGAGGAGGAGGAGGCGTAGGAGCGTAGTAGAGGAGGAGGAGGAGGAGGAGGAGGAGGAGGAGGAGGAGGAGGAGGAGGAGGAGGAGAGGAGAGGAGGAGGAGGAGGAGGAGGAGGAGGATGAGGAGGAGGAGGAGGAGGAGGCCGCTCTTGCGTGCAGCCGCGCCGAGGGTCGAGGCCTTTGGGGCTCGAGGCCTCGGGGGGCGCTCTGCGGCCCTCGGGGCCTCCTCGGGGGGCGCCCTCGAGGCCACGGCTGGGTCCGTCTCGGGATTCGGGGCAGAACGCGCCCCAGGTCCATGGGGTGGTGGTGGTGGTGGTGGTGGTGGTGGCGGTGGTGGTGGTGGTGGTGGTGGTGGTGGTGGTCGTCGTCGCCGTCGTCGTCGTCCACATGCGCCTCCTTGTCCTCATGGGGTGCGTTTTGAAACTCTTGATGCGCCTCTGGCCGTGGCGGCAAGAAGGCTCTTGGAGGCCCCACGAAGCGGGCGAAGGACGGCCCAGAATCTCCCAGTTCGATCCTCGATCCTCGACGTTCGATCCAGCCCTTCCAGGCAGTCTCTGCCAAGGGAGGAAAGTCCACCCGGACCCGATCGTTGGCGTTTTTCGCCGAACGGCCTTGAGGGCGTGTACGAAGCGGCCCTGCTCTGTTCGACTCCTTCTCTGGGCGCGTTTACTCAGCGGCTTCGCTTGTCGGGGTGATGATTATGAGGGTGGATTTTCTGCTCTCTACTCTGGCAGCTGCCGGCGGCCGCTGGCCGCCGAGCCAGCCAGCTTCAATTCGCGCCCGAGGGAGGCCGAGCCTCGTTCGTGTGGGGCGGCCCCGCCGCCGCGCGGGAGCGCTCTCGGGGGCGCCTTTGGCAGCGCTCGCCTCTCCGCATCCTGGCCCTCGTTCCTGGCCCTCGTCCTCGCGCCTCGTTCACCTCCTCGTCCCCGCCCTCCCCGCCCTCCTGCTGCTCCTCGTGCTGTCCCTCCCTCTCCTCGTCGTCGTGGTCCTCCTCCTCCTCCTCCTCCTCCTCCTCCTCCTCCTTCTCCTTCTCCTTCCCCGTCGTCCTCGTCGTCGTCGTCGTCGTCGTCGTCCTCCTCCTATTCCTCCTCCTCCTCCTCCTCGCCCTGGTGTCCTCGGTTTGGGGGCTCGGCGAGGAGAGAGTAACCCATTCAGTGTACGGGCGGCCTTACGGTGGTAGGCCGCGCAAGCCGCAAGCCGAGCTCAGCACAGCAGGCATTGCCCCGCCAGGCAAAGGTGCCCCAAGTTTGGGCTTTTGGGGGGGACCCTGCAAGCTTTTGACAACGCGGGAAGCACAGTGCGCCTGCCTGCCCACGCCGGTCCGCACCTGTGCAACTCGAGCTCGGACTGGAACCACACGCTGAGCGGCCTCCTCCTCCTCCTCCTCCTTCTCCTCCTCCTCCTCTCCCCCTCCTTCTCCTCCTCCTCCCTCCTCCTCCTCTCCTCCTCTCCTCCTCCCCTCCTCTCCTCCTCCTTCTCCTCCCCCTCCTCAAACTTCCTCCTCCTTCTTTTCCTCCTCCTCCTCCACCTCCTCATCCTCCTCCTCCTCTCCTCCTCCTCCTCCCCCTCCTCCTTCTCCTCCTCCTCCGTAGCCATTTTGGCTCAAATTGCAAGGTTCCCCGTGGGACCAAGTGGATACCGCTAGTCCGCGGCAGTGCCAGGACTTTGAGTCCGACAGCTTCTTTACACCAGCTGGTCTGCCCCAGCTTGGTGTCCGCCTCCCGCTGCCCGCGGGTGAGCAAGTCTTTCACGATACCGCTCTACATAGGGCTTCGAGCGGCATGGGCGGCGCTGGTACTGGTGAGTGGGAGCGTCGCCCTTGGGTGCAGGCAGCGCGTCCCCGCCGTTGGGGAGGACGTGTCCCTGTCGGGGCTGGATCGGCCGCAATGTGGGAGGAAGGGGACAGCAAGCATGACAAGTTCAGTGATGACTGGAAGACTGTGGCGAGTCCCAAAGGCGAAATTCATTGCCACCACTGCGGTTGCCGTAAGAACCCCAAGGGAGCTATGCACTGCAAGCACTGCGGCCAGAAGCTCGGGACCCGTCCCCATGAGCCCGAGGTGCCTGAGTCGAGCCTACGCTGGGAGGAAGAGGCTGCCAAGGGTACTGGCAAAGCGGGGAAGAACAGGAAGGGTGGAAAAGGTGATCCACGGAAGAGCAAAGGACCTGGGGGCTCCTCTCAGGCCCTTCCCCCAGGGCCCATCCCAAAGATACCTCAGTCCAAGGCGCTCGAGCTGCAGCGTCCGGCTCAAGCGGCTGGCGACTCGGAAGGGGCGGCGCGCTATGGTGCGCTGGCTAAGCGTGCAGCCCCACCGCCCAGGCCATCAGGACGCCAGCGGCTCATCAAGGCAGAGCAGAAGCAGGAGAAGTTGGAGAAGACGCTCAACGGCGAGTTTGAGAAACTACAGCGCTGGAGGGCGGCCACAGAGGAGCTCGCGCTCACGGTCAAGGAGATGGAAGGTGAACTACAACGGGCAGATGCCGAGGTCGCCGCCACGCTCGCGGAGCTCCAGAGCCAGCACAAGGTGCAGCCCGAGGCTGTGGAGGCCAAGCCGCTCATCAGTCTCCGTAAGCTCATTGAGGGCGAGGTGGAATTGGCTTCTGTCATCTCTGTGGGCGACTTTATTGATGTGGAGGCCGTCAAGGGTAATTACGAAGTCTCGGAAGAGGACCTTCGGGAGCCGGAGGAGCGCAGAAACGACGCGGCCAAGCAGATGCAGGAGGTGCTCACCATGGTCTTTCGGCAAGCGATGGACAAAGCCAACGATTGCCAGGACAAGCACAAATAGCACCTCAAGCGTCTGCAAGCGAAGCGTCGGCGAGTCGATGCGACTGAAGGTGAAGGCTCTGGGGCACCAGCTGAACCATCTCCTGCCGTGACCCCTGGCCAAGGCGAGTCTTCGGCAGCTGGGCCGACAGAGACGCAGCCAGCAGACAAGCCAGTTGGATATTCGTGCTCGTGTGGCTGCTGGCTCTGGTGTGCAGGTGGCAGGGAAGTCGGGTCTTTAGCCAGTCGGATACTGCGTGTTCAACGATGCCTGGGGCGACGCCATCGCCTTCGGCAGCTCCATGTACCTGGTCATCGCTCGGTGCCAGCCCTCCTGAGAAGGCGTTCCCCCTCACGGGGAGGTGGCCCAGTCTGCGTGAACCCACCAGCCTCGCGGCAGGTGCGAGTTCTCGGCTGGTTGCCCCGCTGGAGGAGGCGGCGCCGACGGCTTCGTGGATTGCCGCGGGTGGATCGTCGAGGCCCTCTACTTCGGTGGCGCCGACAGCTTCGATGTCGACAACGCCTTCTGCTTCGGTGTCGCCGTCGGCGTCAGTTGCGGCAACTACCTGTTTTGTCGGATCGGGGGTCGGGTGCTCCTCGAGCCCGATCCCCTGTGAGTTAAATTGTGAGGGAGCGGTGCCACTGCCTGGAGGGACGCCAAGTCAGAATGCGGCCGTCAGGAGCTCAAACCTGGCGGCACTCTCGTCCAAACCTTTTGCTGCATGCAGGGAGGGAAGCAATGCGTCAGGATCCTCGGGCCCTGATGTGGGCGCGAACGCGCTGGATGTGTCGGAGCGCGGCGACCAGGTGCTCCTCGAGCCTGGTCGTCTCAGAGTAGATTGCGAGAAGTAATTGGCACCAGCGGTGGCTACGGCAAGTCAGAACGCAGGTGGTGGGTGCTCCTCGAGCCCGCCACCATCACGAGTAATGTGTGAACGGCCCCAGGCTAAGTCTCGAGCAGTTGTCACGTACAAGCAGGTCATCTCCCTCCAGAAATGCCTTCCACTTGGCGAAGCTGGAGCGAAAGGATCCTTCAGAGCTGGCACCTTGGCTGCGAATACCTGGCCCAGAGCACGCAGCGCTATGCCCTGGATCGAGAAGCAGTGCCAGATGCCCCATGTGTTGTGTATCCAGGAGACAGTGCTGGACTCCTCGGCTGGGGCAGGCGCACACCAGTGGACTCGCGCATGCTCTCGGAAGCTTGCTCTTGGCACGGCTGAACGCGCGGGGGAGTCAGCCAGGGCACTGTCAGCTGGAGTTGGGTTATCTGCAGCCATCGGGATAGGAGTGGCCAAGTTGCAGATCCCTAAGAAGTGACAGCATCGAGTGGTGATGAGGCTCGTGACCCTGGGAGCCCATTCTTGGGTCAGCATCGGCTCGGTCTACGGAGTCGACTCGATCGGTCCCAAGGGAGAGGACCTCGATCTGCTAGAGCTCCTCAGTGCCTTCCTGGGCGCTAAGCGCTTCCCCTTCCTCCTGGGTGGCGATTGGAACTTGGGGCCAGAGGAGATAATGGATCTCGGCTGGCGGGATTTGGCGACGGCGACAATCTTCGCTCCTGGGTTGCCCACCTGCAACGGGAAGGAGTACGACTACTTCATTGGCTCCCAGACCCTGGACGCGCTCCCTATGAAGGTAGATGCGAGAGAGGATGCGCCGCTTTCGCCACGCTGCTATGTGGAGATCACGCTTGGCGGCCTGGGAGACGAGCCCTTTGTCTGGGTGGAGGCTCCGCCGAGAGCCTTCCCACTGGCGGAGCAGGAGGCGAAACGGAAAGCTTGGGGGAAGGCCAAGAACGCCAGGGTCGTCGACCTCATCACTGTGGCTGCGCCCCCATCGGTACAGGTGATGGCAGATTGGCAGCTGGCTGCCCCTTTCGATTCTGCGGAAGATGCAGCAGCGCGGTGGTTCACGGCGGCCGAGAAGTACCTGGTGCAGGTGTTCGAGATCCCTCTCCCAGACAGGCGGCTGTGCGTCGGCAGAGCAGAGGGGGTTGCGCTGAATCAGAAGCGACTGGTAGACTGCTCTAAGTCCATTCTTGAGCGCCACGATGAGGCGGACACCAGGCTGTGGGTGAGCGCGCTCGAGCGCGCGGAGAGATGAGAAAAAGCTGCTGCCCCTTGAACTCCCTGAGGCCATCTCGGGCCCCCCCTCCCAGAAGGCGCAGGATGTTCAGAAGTGGTTGCCTTGGCCACGAGAGGGGGGCAGCTGCCGGCCTGGTTTCGAACGGTGTTAGCGGAGGAGGTGAAGGAACGCAGGCGCCAGGACTCTCAGGCCAGAAGTAAGGCTTGGCGTGATTTGGAGCATCTGCTGCTGAACGCTCTGGGAAGCTGGCTCGTGCGATTGTTCGGCCCAAAAGGTTGGGGGGGGCGCCCGCTCTGGCCAAGGGTCAGCCGCGCGGGCTGGTTTGAGCGGCTGCTATCGCTGCAGTTCTCGAGGCATGGGAAGAGCTGTGGATCTCCGACGACAGGGTTCAGGAGGCTGCGCCGACTGACTGGAGTTACCCATGGGCGCTCAACCAGATTTCTGAGGACCAGATCATGCAGGTGTGTCGCTCGTTCAGTCCGTCTACTGGCCTGGGCTGGGACAACTTCCACATGGGGTTGGTTCGATTCATGGATGGTTCGTTCGTTCAGAGGTTGCATGAGACTCTCACGAGCTGGGAGCGCAATCCTCATTGTGAACGGATGTGGGTAGCGATCCATGTTTTTCTTCCAAAGCCAGATGGTGGAACCAGGCCCATTGGCCTTCTTTGTTTTTAGGCGCGTATTTGGAGCCGTTGCAGGATGCGGTGCGTCACTAGATGGGGGGCTTCGGTTGATGCCCAATTCTTCTGTGGAAAGGATGCGGCAACCAGTTGCGACATAGCTGCATGCCTGCATCGTATGTTGGCGTGCCACGCTAGACGGAGAGGTTTGTCGGCGATAATTGTGTTTTATGACATCCGCGTCCGCCAGTTTTACGAGAACGTCAGTCATCAACAGTTGAGGGGGGCAGCGGAGCATTACGGGTTCGACGGTGCCTTACTCAAGGCGCTCTGTTGCCTCTACCGTGCGCCTCGCAGGGCACGGTGGGCGGGCGGGGCCAGCAGAGTCAGTCATCCGAATGGAACGATCGTGGCAGGATGTAGTGCAGCGACTAGAGTATCGAAGTTTTTTGACGTTATGCCTCCTCAAGCGCTTGGCAGCGGAGACTCCGCCGTGCCGATTCTTTAATGTTGTGGGCGACTTGACGACGCGCACCATTGGAGGCCCCAGGACAGTAGTCGCGAACACGACTGCCAGCTTTGAGATTGTCACATCGGAGTTGGAGCCGAGGAAGTTGCCAATTAACTGGGGCAAAACCGAGTTCATGATGTCTGATCGCAGCCGGCTGCCTGAGTTGGCACAGGATCCCAGGTGGAGGCTTTCAGACGACAAGCCGGTCATCGCCCACCGCGATCTCGGCGGCGACTCGTTGGGCGGCAGAGCCCGACGGGTTGGCGCGCAGGCGTCGAGGAGTGCGGCCGCTCGCAGCACTGGAGTGGCTCTGCGACAGCTGTGGCAGAGTGAAAACATAGTCGCGTCTATCGCGTAGGAGCTCTCGCTAAGGCCGCGTGGGGGTCCCATATTTTGGGGATTCCGCCGACCAGCCGCCGCGAGCTTCGGGCCCAAGCTGTGAGATCCTGGGGCCCCCTCCTCCCTGGTACTTCCCTGGGCTTCAGGTCTCTCTCGGCCTCTCGCCTCTGGCACAGAGGCCCGCTTCTGGTGACGGTGGTTTCGGCTGTAAAGGAATTCGTTAGTGTCTGGTGGGCCCGCTCGATTTCGAAGCAAGTTGTAGAGTCCTGTGTTCAGGATGCCCTGGCGGTCCAGGGGAGCGGGGCCCCCTGGGGCCAGGTCCGCCAGCCTGTTGCTACGCTTTTTTCTTGCAGCTTTCTCGGATCCGCTGGGCGTTCGACGTTTCGAAGATGGCCCTGGTGGACGACCTCAAAAGAGGGTGGTCGATTGATCGTTTCTCGCCCAAGTTCATCATGCTCCTTCTGCGTGGCTCGGTCGTTCGGGCCATTGAGCGGGAAGAGCAGCTGAAACAATTCGATTTCTGTCCCTGGAGTGGCCCCGTTTTCTGGCAGCCCATTCGCCGGCTCCTCGGGCGCAAAGGCTCGGAGGCTCGGACTAAATCTCACAGGGCGGCATTGTCGGCGCTTGCGGCGAATGTGTATTGGCGCCAGCACAGTGTATGTGAACACAGCCCCGAGGCCCCCGACCAGTGTCAGCTGTGCAGAGACGGCAAAGGCACTCTGTACCACCGCAGGTCTCAGCGTGTGGCTTTCTCCCCCTGGCGCCGCGAGAACCAGGGTCCCGTTGTTGCGAAGGCTGCTCGACGAGTTGGAAACCTTCCGGCCTCAGTGGGGGAACTTTTTAGCAGGTGTTTGTTCCCCAGCCCCGCGTCCTGGGTCAGGCCCCCTTCCCCGAGACCCCTTGGGCCCGTGCGCCCGACGCTGGCAGTGGCCTCGGGGCGGGCCCCTCTTTGTCCCCGAGGGGGCCATGTTTTCACGGATGGCTCGCGCTTTGAAGGGATGCTTCCAGGGCTCAGGGCCGCGGGATGGGCGATTGTGGTGCTCGACAGCCAAGGTCGAACCCTCGCTGCGCTGTTAGGTGTCGTGCCTTCTTTAAAAGCGCCAGAACAGCTGGCGAGGGACGGAGAAGATTTTGCTGTGTTGATGCTGTCTCGTAGGGCTGTCCTGGCTCATAGTGTTATCCTGCACGTGGACTGTGAGGCCGCGGTCGGCTG